TTGAAATGAAAATGAGCTTTTTCAGAAGTAAAAGCACACAGATAGAGGAATATGGTGAAGATCTTTAACAAACTGAAAAATAGAAAACTACAGGAGTTTCAAAGTAGTCAATTTAGGCTTAGCTAAGACTAGGTACACTGCAGTCTTGCTGTAAATTAAACTTCACAAAGCAAACTGTAACTGTAATTATTTTAGGCTTCCCTTACAAGGAAAAGAGCAATGTGCACATTTTGCTAACCCAGAAAAGTCGTCAGCAATCTCCTTTCTGCAATTCTTAATTAATGTAAAGTGAAATCGGATTTATTGCACTTTGCATAGCATTTTTGCTCATTCCAATGCGTTATTAAAAAATCCTGAATGTGCTACTAAAAGAGATGAAAGAAGATAAACATTCAAGGATAAGCATGTGTGTCAGCATATCTGGGTGCAATATGAAATTTCACATATATATTTATTATAAAACTAATTAAAACACATGTAATCACAAGCACAAAAGTCTCACATAGACCTTATAAAATATGTAAACCCAACATTTCATATTTTTGATATGTTCCTGCTGTACCGTGTACTTGTATGAAAAAGTATCCTGTTCTCTCTGTATTGCTTCCTTTATGTGAAATCCCTGGTGTTCCTGCCAGTCCCTCTGCTTTCTTATTAAAAACTGACCACAGTAAGCAGGAGAACACAGCGTGGTCAGTTTTCTAGCTATGCTGGGAACACAATGTGCTCTCCTCCAGTGATCAGACTTGTCCTGATACCCCCCCTCCTCCCACACAGCCTTTAACTAGGAAGATCAGTGTTCTTCTGTTTCTCCTCCCCTAATGTTTATGCAGCTTAGAACAGAAGGCATGTGATAAAAAAAGGGAAAAATGTATTTATAATGTTTTTTTATATCCATACACAAATGTTTTGCCTTTCATTTCCATTTTAACCACTTGTCCCTCCGGAGGATTTACCCCCTTCCTGACCAGGCCATTTTTTGCAATATGGCGCTGCATTACTGTAACTGACAATTGAGCGGCCATGCAACACTGCACCAAAGTGAAATTTATGTTCTTTTTTTTCCACAAATAGAGCTTTCTTTTGGTGGTATTTAATTACCTGTGTGGTTTTTTATTTTTTTGCGCTATAAACAACAAAAAAAACAAAAATTTTGAGAAAAAAAAACAATATTTTTGACTTTTTGCTATCAAACATGTCCAGTAAAAAAATTAAAAAATCAAATTTCATCATAAATTTAGGTCAAAATGTATTCGGCTACATGTCTTTGCTAAAAAAAAAAATCCCAATACGTGTAAATTAATTGGTTTACAATTATGCAGAGCCATACAAAGCAGTGTGCAGGAGCTGACAGGGGAGAGATCTGTGTTGTTTATACACAGGTGTCTCCCCCATTGGAGATACTCAAAGATCACCAGCTGCCAGCGAGTAATCATGTGCCCCCTATACATGCGTGATTTTGCGCACCTGTGCCGCCCTGTAGCAGCATTTCTGCTATAGGATGGCGCAGAACTGGTTCAACTGAATGGGATGTTTTACAAGGTGAGAATTTACAACCACTTTAACATGTAACATCAATGGTCATTTTATTATTTCTAAATCTGCAGTTTTCATTATATTACCTGGCCATGAAGGGTGACAACGCTCTGCCCCGTCGCCCAGTTTAGGTTGCTCATTGTTACCCTGACATAGAGGAGTTTGATAGAGAATACATGTAGATGTTTCAGTGCATGCACATGCGGAGGAAGGGATGCAAGGAGGTTGCAGGTAATAACCAGTACTGATATGCATTAAAAGGAGGAAATAAGTCTATTTAATGAAGTATTTCATTAGAAATTGCAACTATTAATGATACTTAGTGTTTTAAAAAGCTAAATGTAATGTATTTAAAGTTTGCATATACTTTAAAGTATATGTGAACCCTTACCTTGTAAAACAACCTATTAAATTTAAAACAGCAATGAAAGGCAAGACATTTGTGTGTGTATACAAGGGTACAATGTTGCATGACTACGCAATTGCTATTCAAACTGTGAGAGCGATGAAAGCTGAAAATTGGCCTGGGCAGGAAGGGAGTAAAAGTGCCCAGCATTGAAGAGGTTAATTCTCTATAGTAAATTCATAGGCATGTGTACTGACAATACTTTTCTTTTGCCCCCTTTACTTTAAATGTCAAACATTAACACACACCAAATTATATAACCTATACAGTATGTTTTTATTCAGTTTTACTTTTATGAAGAAGCAAAGAAAACAAACAGAGGGCACACAGGCCTAGTGCATTACCTTGATGATAATATAATATACTCATAAATGACAATAATGTCAAAGGCACATCATAAAGGAACAGCACTGTCCAGTCAACACTGAGTGACTGTCCACAATGGGAATCCTGGACCTCCGACAGGCTAACGCGTTTCGAGGACTTGCCTCTTCCTCAGAGCCTCAGGCAAGTCCTCGAAATTCATTAAAAATTCATTAACCTGTTGGAGGTCCAGGGTTCCCATTGCGGACAGTCACTGTCAGGAATGGACTAGCCAGTAATGGTGGGACTCACCTGCCTTGTGGGCTGCAGTACCAGGGCTGGCCAGCGGGTGCTCCAGGCAATCAGAGACTCAACCCTGCAGCCAGCCAAACATCTGAAACTGATCATGCAGGTGTATTTAAGGGATGGCCAGACCTGCAGTCTCTGCCTTGGTGTGTGTTTTTCCTGGGCCCTGTATCTTGTTCCTGCATTCCTGTTCCTGTCTCTGTCTGATTCGTTGCTGACCCTGCCTGATTCTGGACCTCTGCTGACTTCTCCTGTTTCATCCCTGGCTTGTGACCCCGACCATTCTCTGCCTGACCCCCTGTTCCTACCTGCCCGATTGCTATTGACCCAGCCTGCCTGACGACGCTTGCATTGTATATATTGTTATCTGTGGGTGGTTTGGTTTGGTTCGTTTGCACTGTGTTATGTTTTAGTATTGCACTGCGTTTATGTTTGTATTGTTAGTCTTTAATAAATTGTCTTATTGTTTATAACATATCTGAAGCCTGCGTTTCCTGCGTCAGTCACATACCTCTGGTCATACCCCGGAGCCCTGACAGTCACTCTGTAGACTGGACAGTGCTGTTCTTTTATGGTTTGCCTTTGTTATTATTGTCATTTGTGAGTATATTACCTATCATCTTTCATCAATAAATGTATTTTTAAGGTAATGCACTAGGCCGATGATCCCTCTTTTCTTTTTTTTTTTTGTTTGCATCTAGTGAATTTGGATTTCCCCGGTCCTTTGAGGGCAGCAAGGCATGCACTTTCCAAGGCATCCGAGATGTGGTTATAGCCTCTGTTGAGTCCACCCCAAAGCGCAGGAGTATTTGTTTGCTATTTACTTTTATGAAGCTTTTATTTATCTTTTGTTTTAATATTATATTAATTTATTCATTCATTTTAATGGTTCTAAATACATGGTTTGCTTAATTCAAAGGTGTAAAAGGGTTTTTATTGCCTAAGGGCTCTACAACACAGGCTTGCTTAGTCCGTTCAGTGTAACTGCTGATATATTTCCTCCACCAAGACAGTTCAGGTGCAGCAAACAGCTTATCATTGACATGGATGGCTGTGTGCTGCTGCATGTATATGTTGGTGCTATTGCAAACCCTAAAACAGCGTAATAAAATGTTACATTTTCTATTTTTTTTTACATACTAACCTCTACTCATGTTTTCAATAACATCACTGTATACACAAGTACAGCAGATCACAGCCATTCATGTCAATGACAAGTTGTTTGCTGTACCTGGGCTGTCTTGGTGGAGGAAATAAGCCAACAGTTATACTGAACATGCTTAGCCAGCCTGTGTGCAAGAGCCCTTAGTACAGTTAGGATGCCGAGCTCTTCCTCTCTCCTACCTCTTTAAACTGTTACTTACCTAACTTCAGGTAGAACAGCCAAGCTGGCCCAAATGCCAGGTTGTTCAGCTGAACAGAATCCAGGGGGTTAATGAGAAGTCATCTGTCATCCTATGGGGGATGGTATTTTCTGAAGCTCATTTACTTCTCTTCTTTGAGTACCTTCTCCCTTGATAGAACACTGGCTTAAAGCGGAGCTCCACCCAAAAGGGGAAGTTCCGCTTTAAGCCTTTGTCCCCATTATAGCACCTTAGGAGAGTAGGGGGGGAGCGGGTACCCGAACTTGACAGGTAACCGCTCCCACTTCCACTGCGATCGCCTAGGCGATCGAAAGTGGAAGTTGTCCCCCCCCCCAGTAGTCTTCTGGGAAACGTGACAGGTCCCAGAAGACTACGAAGCCATTCACAAAGCGCAGCGCTTCTCGCACATACGTAGTGCGCACCCAGCTGTGAAGCCACAAACTGTCACAGCCGGGTGCCCATACTGAAGATGCCAGTGCCTGGGAGAGAAGACGGCCAGTGAAACCAGCCATGATGAGGACACCACTGGACCGAGGGACAGGTATTTTAACCACTTGCCGTCTGCCTACTGTTTTTAAACGGCAGGACGGTGGCACTCCAGGGCGGGTTTCCCTTCATAAACGGCACCCGCTATTTCTAATATTGCGCGCTCCCTGGGAGCGCGCAGCACCGCGGTCTGGTGCCCGCTGTGTCCTCTGGACACAGTGGAACACCGATCGTCGGACGGGACCTCTCTACGAGGTCCCGATCATGTGATCACTGATTGGCCAATCAGTGAGCACATGCAAAGTAGTAAGCAAGATGCCACTTGTGACATCATTGTTTACTACGTGTGAAATCTGTGAATGATCACAGAGGTCACATGGTACAAGACTATTCACAACAGCCTTTTACCATGTGACAAGCTCTGACCAATCACAGCTCACACAGTATTTCTCAATGGCTGCAAGAATGCAGACAGAGAGAAAGAGAAATGATTGCTTTTACATCCTATATGGGTGTAAAAGCAATCACTGTAAAAAAAAATAAAAAATCTTCATCACCCCCCACAAGTAGTACAGTGTCCCCATGGTGACACTGTACTGCTAGGGTGACAGTATGTAAAAAAAAAACAAAACATAAATAATAATATAAAAAAATAAAATAAAAATGTAAAAAAAAGTTTAGAAATGATAATTTTGGGTTATAAACTAATTTGGCGTATTTTTTTTTTTACTAAAAAGATAACAGAATAAATTTTGGCCAAGATTTATGATGAAATATTATTTCTTTGCAAAATTTTATAAGAAAAACACTTTTTTCAAAATTTTTGGACTTTTTGGATTTTTTTTAGCAAAAAAAATAAAAATCCCAGTGGAGAATAAATACCACCAAAATAAAGCTTTATCTGTCTCAAAAAAATGGTAAAACATTCATATGGGTACAGTGTTGCATGACCGCGCAATTGTTATTCAAAATGTGATAGTGCTGAAAGCTGAAAATTGCCCTGCTCAGGAAGGGGGTAAAAGTGTCCGGACAGGAAGTGGTCAAAAGTTAGCAGCTCCAGTTTTTGTAGCTGCTGACTTATTTTTTTTTCAGGTGGAACTCCGCTTTAAGTGAAATTCTAAGGAAAGACATAATATAAACTGTTGTTTAGTTACATTACTTTTACATAACAAAAGTTAAAAAAATTGAAAAATACAAAGTGATCAAACAGAAAGAAAATGCTATAGACACAAAAACTTGGATGACTGACAATACTAAAATATGCTACAGAAACACTTTGTGCAGAAAATCTATATACTGCAATACCTAACATAACAATGTAATCAGTGCAGCAGCAATTTTCCTTCATCATAGGGAGAAAATGACATGAAGGAACCGGGTCATACTGTGATTGAAGTGCTGGGAACAGTAGGATCTTACCCATTTTTAAACAGTGAATGGACTGGAATTTAAAATACTTCTTTTTATGCCGTCAATCACAGCTTCGTACCCACTTAAATGACATCTTGGATTGGCTGTTTATGATGCTGTGTTAATTGCGTTTTCAATTACTGTGATAGTTCTAACTAGGTTCCATCATGAGGCTACCACTTTGGCACCAGTTCTCAGATTTACAGACAGTCCAGCACAAAAATAAATTTGTCATACACACACGCATATTTTATTATATATTTTTAAAGTGTAAGCATAGGCAAACTATACATCCATTCTTAAGTCCACAGCTTACCTGTGTAGCCAGGTGCTGGGCTACAACAATATGGAGAAGGAGACATTGCCTTTTATTCTTCTCTCCCTCTACTAAGATACTGATGAAAAGCTGCACCATTCAGCAGGGGGAGAACCAAAGCTAAACAAGCCCATGAGCTTCTATGCAGAGCGCTGAGACTCCTAGGAGTTGTAGTTTGAGATGGCAGCCATATAATGGGACGAATAGACTCCTTACACTACAGATCCCAATAGGCACTGTGTAGAAAGAGAAGTGGGGATTTTTATTAAACTGCCCAGGAAAGTTAGTCCTCTTGCACCAAGGGGGTTAGAGAGAGAGAGCATCTCTGCCTGGATAAAATAAATAAAGCAAACTTGAACATAAATCAAAATAACAAATATATATAAAAGTCCAAAATATAGTCCCAAATATATCCAAAACGCACGGATCCTAGAGGAAGTCAATGATGGATTCCAGATATTCTTCATAGACCTCAAAAAAAATAAACCTGAACATAGTGCGTTATCTTAAGATCTCATAAAGTGTACCACACGTGCCACATGCAAAAACTATAAGTGCCACAAAAACTCGTGCAAAACATACTATATTAGATAAGTCCACTGCACACAATATAGTAAGAGTGCATAATTACCCTAAGGTAACCAAAAACAGCATAGATTCCATTGTAAAGGAGCTTCTTCCAAATGGCGTCACCTTCTCTGGATACTTCCCACAGACCTCATAAACAGACCAGTGTCAGTGATATAATCAAATAAAACCACACTTTTATTATAATAACTTACATAGAAGAAAGGTGAAGTCAGCATCCATACTAGGAGGGATTAGGAACAGCAATGACATCCAGCAGTAACTCCAATATAAAAAGCATATAAGTTCACAGGAGAGTCTAGAACCACCTCCAATGGTGGTAAATCAAAGTCCCAGGGATAGGTACAGCCGCGTGTACCAGAACCCAAAATGGCCACTGGAGCACTTCCGGAAAACGTCAGTGCGTCACTACGTCACATGCCCTGGACGCGTTTCGTCACATCCGGACTTTTTCAACAGGAAGCCTGGATAGTCGCCTGCCATGGGGGAGACTATACCAACAAAGATCTGAGACTGGGAGTGAGGATACCTGGGGGCAGTGCAGCACCACCCTCATCACAGCACCTACACCACTGCCACAGGGAGATGGGAGCATCCAGTCACCCTCTGCTTCCCACCACTGGTCAACGGAGGCTTTTGGGGAGAGACCAAAAAGGCCCCCTCTTTTTACAACCAGAGGTCACTGCAGTCCTGGGGACTGGTGAGAGAGCTATTCACCCATTGCTGATACTGCTAGCATAGACTGAGCCACTGACAGCAGGACACCAAGTGTACCCAATCCATACACCAAGTGTCCCCATTCTGCACTCTATACTGCACTTATTCCAAACCTAGCTTAGACCTACTTTAAACAAATCATTTCCCGTGTAATACTTGAACCACATCTACCTTACACTTGTGCCGAGACTGTACCATAACTGCAGTGTTGCTGGACACTGCCGAAGACAGATAATAATAATAAAAAAATAAAAATAAAACAAAACCTACATTAGGTCTGGTAGGAAGGTTAGGAGGGACCCCATAGTAGCAAAAAAAATGTGTGGGGTTCCCCCTAAAAGCCATACCAGGCCCTTTAGGTCTGGTAGGAAGGTTATGAAGGACCCCACCGTAATTTTTAATTTTTTTTTAAAGTACATGGGATTTTCCCTAAAAGCCATACCAGGCACTTTAGGTCTGGTAGGAAGGAAAGAAGGGACCCCACAGTAATTTATTTTTTTTTATAAAGTGTGTGGGGTACCCCCTAAAAGCAATACCAGGCCCTTTAGGCCTGGTAGGACTTTTAAGGGGAACCTCACCCCCCACAAATGGGGGGGATCATGGGGTCCCCCCCTAAATTCCTATCAGACCCTTGATTTGAGCACAGACATGCCAGGTCAGGAAAGGGGGGGACTAACAAGTGCCCCCCTCCCTGCGGCTTACCAGACCACGAGCCCTTGGCATTGGGATGGTGTCACTGGGCCAGGGCTGTGGGGGTCTGCAGGCAGAGGGGCTCATTAGTATCAGGGTAACTCTTTAAATAAAAGGGGCCTGATGGTGCCCCCCCAAATGAGTAAGGGGTACTTGTACCCCTACCCATTCACTAAAGGGCTAAAATGAGTCAAAAATAAAGAGACCAACCTTTTGAAAAAATCCTTTATTGAACAAAAAACAAAACAAAAAATGTTGACAAGTACTTTATTTAAAAAAAGCAAAAAAAAAATGGTTCCACCATTGTAATCCATCATCTAAAGGTCCTGGTATGGCTTTTAGGGGAGACCCCCACACAGTTTTTTTGGGGGGATTTTCTTGAAATTTTTTACTGTGGGGTACCTCCTAACCTTCATACCAGACCTAAAGGGCCTTGTATGGATTGGGGAGGAGGGAACCTCACTCTATTTTTTTGTTTTTTTTATTAAAATGTCATTTAAAAAAAATAAAAAACAATCCTGTTGCAGCAGGTTCTAGACATTGTACAGATGTTCAACTTTGCAAGTGGTTTAGGGGAACCCTCTTCCCCCTCCCCCAGGCATGATATCTAAAGGAATTTTTCTTTTTTTTTACTTTAAACAATGAAAAATGACTGGGCCTTTAAGAACGTTACTTTTTGACATTTTGTTTTTCACTGATTCATGTCCCTCAGGGCAGTAACCGAGTCCCCATACCCCTTTTATGGCCAATAACTTGCATATAAGCCTTCAAAATGTGCACATTTGAATTTATTCGAGTCTCTTAGACTTGTACTGCGTTCAAAGTTCACATGGGGTTGTTCAGCCTATCACTATATCCAAAGCTCTGAGTGACGTTTTTCTCTGTTGCCTGGTTTCTCTGTTATCAGCATGAGTCACTTCTGGCCGCTTTTCCTGTCACAAGAGTTAATAAGGTTATTGGGAAGAGAGCTCCAGCACACATCCTGTGACTGATATTCACAGCTGTGCTTGTTCTCTATGTACTATGTGAAGGGGGGTGAGGGTGTCCCATCCCTCCAATCAGGGCTAAGAGCTGTCCTTGCTGAGATCTGCATGGCGAGACTACAGATGGGTGAAACTTCAGATACCTGCCCCCTGATGCTAGAGCTGAAAATAAATCATGACATCTTTGTTTTTTCAGAATGATCTACAGAAGAAATGGTTGCACATATACAGCTACAACTTATGTAGCAATAATTGTTTCATTTCTATGTATCACCTGAGACTAGGGTATATGTAAGGCAGCCTTTCTCAACCTTTTCAACACAGAGGAACCATTGAAATGACTTTTTGGTCTTGGGGAACCCCTGCTAAAAATGAATGTATCTACAGCTCATGATACATTTGTGTGATGGACAGTGGGAAGAATGTTCTTTACATTCGTGGTCATTGAGAAGTATTACCCCCTTATAGATAGCTAAAAATGTCAATGGTATCAACGGGAACCTATCTGAGAGGCGGATATTGCTCATTGCTCAAGGAACACCTAGCAGCAACCTCTGGAGGAGCCCTAGGGTTCCAGGGAACCCTGGTTGAGGGACCCTGATTTAAGGGTTTACAACCACTTTAAGGCTCTGTTCACAATTGTGTGACTTGTCATGTGACGTTGGGCACACAACGTCACATAACAAGTCACAGCCATTGTTTTCAAAGGCACCCATTTGGATCCATGAGACTTAAAGTTGCAGCAACCTTAAAAAGGTTCCTGCACTAATTTACTGTGCCTTGAGTGCCAGAGAATGTATAGTTGCATTAACAGTAGCACTGGAAATCGTGTGACTTTGGAGTCGCACAAGTGTGAACGGAACCTAAGTCCAGAGCTTTAAAGAAATATATATAATGTGTCCTCTAAGTAAAGTTTCCCTAAAAAAAACATTCTACAAAGTGTGCCACCGCTAGTGATCACTATCACCCCATTCCCATTTGGATCAAAATGCTCTCAGAAGCTATGACACCTTATTAAAAATAGGGTCACATTCCTTCATTGAGCATATACTGCAGAAGTAATCCCAGTTTCCAAAATTCTTCATTGAGCACAGCAGGAATAGGGTAGGACATATACAACCAAATAATGTAACTCTGTTAAGAGGCCATACCATGTTCAACCAGAAACTCACAATTAGTGAGTAAAACAGTGCTTGGTAGCTCACATTCAAAAGTCAGGTTCCCGTGTACTCACATAATCATGGCAACACCATAACGTACACTTTCTGTCTACATTTTATTACCCAATAACCACCTCTCTGAAAATGGCATCTCTCTCAATACAGGTCTATATTATAAA